GCGACATTAGGCCCCGAAGCTCCGGATGCCACGGCCTTGAGGCAACCGCAGGCTGAACGCCTGTCTGCTGCGGTCTGCGTCACCGAGGTGACCTTCTTGATTCCGCTGCAGCAGTTGACAGAGGGTTGGCCGCTGCCGCCCTGGAAATAATCTAGGCATGGGTATAGACAGCTGTACACGGTTGAGCATGAGAGAGCGCTCGCTGTGTTTGGGGAAGTGAGAAGGAACGCTGCGAAGATTAAAGCTAGTATTGGTGACATGACTATTGTGGGTTAGAGATAGATCGAACGAGCTGGTAGTGAGTAGAAGTGAAGTGAGTGGGTTTGGGTATTTATGGAGGAGATTTAGGCTAGTAATTGGTATTGTCTTTTTACGAATCTACTTATTTGTTTAAAGAAGCAGTTAATAATAGTCTTTGGTTAAAAGAAATTGCATGCTATTGAACTACTTCAGCTTTTAAGGTGGTGGTTTTAGAAGCGACTTGAAGATGCTTTTAGAAGAATCTTTTGCTTTTTGTAGCTTTACCAATGACCTTAGCTGTTTTTAAAAGTAGCTTTTGATATATGATTACCGAACGACTATTTTTAGTAACTTATATAAGCTACCCCTATTAGCTTGTTATACAAGTAACTCATCATAACCTCTAGTAATACTAAACTAATCCTTAGAATGAATTTGTGAATGGATTGGGCATTGAGTCCTAGTCACGCTAAACTGATCCTTAGAATGGATTTGTGAATGGATTGGGCATTGAGCCCAAGTCACGTACTTGCTAGCTATACTTTTAGTTTTGTTTAAACCTAAAACCCTTTGAGCTAATCAATAGAACCCAAAAAATTTCATGTATTATTACTTTATTAACGAATTTCCAAATTTTACATGATTAAATGAAATCCACATATATATCTTCTTTAATTTTATTGTTTGATTTGATTTCTCTGTTTAAACTTACTTTTTATAGCGTTTATATTGATTTAGAATGGGCAGTGAGATAGCCTCCTTCTTTCCCCTTACATGGTTTTGTGTAGAGTATGCTCTATATGATTTTTTTTGCTCCTTTGGCAATTCTAAATGTTACGGAAATATTAAATTATAGCTTATCAGTGGAAAAAATATTAGGGCCACATTATCGAATCCCTCTTTTTGAGGGAACGTGAGCCTCATAGTAAAAGCCCGTGATGTTAACACCCACGGGACGAGAATATTATGTGTTAATTAACACTGAACAGTGTCCTCTTATTATGTGTTAATTAACACTGAACAGTGTCCTCTTCTGTCATCCATATCAACCACTAATCAACTTGTTTACTAAATTAATTACGATCGTTTTTGTTTAAACTTTCACTCACGTGTACTAGACACGAGTTTGCACAACCTTTGATAATATCTAAAACTGAAGAATCCCTCCAAATTAAAAAAGCAACTTGTCCCTTTATGAAAACTTACATTTCCACTTTGACAGTGACTAGGTGAATTTAGGTAGATTACATACATTTCCACTTCGATAATGAGAGTTCTGATGAAAGTAAACTTAATTCGTAATTCAATATACGAGAATAATACGAGGGATCTATATATTTAGCCAATGCGGGAATTGTTAGAAGTCATGCAGCAGTGACTTCTTCAAGAACCTAGAAGCTTCTCCATTTATCTAGCAAACTTTGGAAACTTGCCATGGAGTTTTGTGGAAATTACCATGGAGGATTTTGGAAATTTCTAGAAAAGAAGACAAAACCGACATTGATCCCTATAAAAGGGACTTCAGCCATTCGGTTTGGATCAAGGGGAAGTGAGCAAGAGAAAAAGAAAAGGCTATAAAAGTAGGTGGAAGAGTAGGCTCTCTAGAGAAAAGAGAGTGTGTGAGAAAAGAAGTGTAGTAAGGTGATAGGTTGAAGCCTAGTGAATGTAGAGTGGCTGTGAGAAGAATATTTAGAGAGAGAAAGAGTGAGGAAGTGACTTGTAGTCTTGTAATATTTTGTATCAAAGTTAAATTTAAGTTGAAGTCCATTTTCATCCAAAAGTGTTTGTTCAAGTCCTCATTTGTAGAGGGTTCATTCCATCAAATTGGTATCAGAGCCAGGTTCGATCTAGCCGGGCCAATCGAAGGTGCTCGTGTACGAGATGGCGAACATGATCCAGCCACAGATTCCGAAGCTGATGAAGACCAATTACGATAACTGGAGTATCCAGATAAAAGTCTTGCTCGGTTCGCAAGACTTATGGGAACTTGTAGAGAACGGTTATGCAGAGCCGGAGTCACCTACTGTTGAAGCCAATCTCAGTGCCACTCAGAAGAGTGAGTTGAAGGAGGTCAGAAAAAGAGACAAAAAGGCTTTGTTCCTAATATTTCAAGGCGTAGATGAATCTGCATTTGAGAAGATTTCCAACGCCCTGTCCTCTAAAGAAGCATGGGAGATTTTACAAAAATCCTATCAAGGTGCGGAAAGAGCCAAAAAGGTACGCCTCCAAGCATTAAGAGTTGAATTTGAAAATTTGAAGATGAAAGCTACAGAATCAATATCAGATTATTTTAGTAGAGTTCAGACAATAACTAATCAAATGAAGAGAAATGGAGAAGCAATTAGTGACGTAAGAATTATGGAGAAGATACTTAGGACTTTAGACTCTAAATTCAAATATATTATTCCGGCAATACAAGAGTCTAAAGACCTTTCCGAAGTTTCGATCGATGAGCTGCAAGGTTCTCTGCAAGCTTATGAACAAGATATAAACATTAGTTCAAATCAAGCGGAGAATCTAGAACAAGCCTTGCAGAGTAAGATGACTATCAAAGAAGATAGTCGAAGAGGACGTGGAGGCTACAGAGGCAGAGGCTCATTTCGAGGTGGCTCAAACTTCCAGCAAGGTCGTAGGAGACAGTACCAAGGAGGCCATGAAAATCAAGATCGAAATAGAGATCGTGAACGATCATTCGATCGAGGACGAGGTCGTGGCACACGAGGACGAGGACAAGGAAGAAGTTACCATGAGGACAGATCTCAGCCACAGTGTTACAAATGTAAGAGATACGGTCATCTCAGCTACGAATGTTGGGAGAAATCAAATCAAGTGGCAGAAAGAAGCAACTTTGTAGAAAGGGAGCAGGCAGACACTTCAACAGTCCTGTTGACGTACCAGGAGAGCGAAAGCAAGAATAAAGATATCTGGTATCTAGATTCAGGTGCCAGTAACCACATGTGCGGCATCAAGGAGTTTTTTACCGAGCTGAACGAGACGGTACAAGGAGATGTCACCTTTGGAGATCAGTCAAAGATTCCAGTGAAAGGCAAGGGCAATATAATGATCCAGACAAAGACGGGCGAGAACAGGTACATCTCTGATGTCTACTATGTTCCAGCATTACGAAATAATATTTTGAGCCTAGGCCAGCTCCTTGAAAGAGGCTATGATATACATCTAAAAGACCTTGCCCTCACTATTAAAAATAAAAATGAAGTTATTGCAAAGGTGAACATGTCTAGAAATAGACTGTTTACCTTAAATATTCATGCTGACCCTGTCAAGTGCTTGAAGTCAATCATAAAAGACGAGACTTGGCTCTGGCATCTACGATTCGGGCATCTCGCTTTCAGTGGCCTGAATCTTCTATGGAAGGAGAAAATGGTAAAAGGATTGCCGCAAATCAACCATCCGAACCAGCTATGTGAAGGCTGTATGAAGGGCAAACAACATAGAAGAAGTTTCGAAGTTGGAAAGTCAAGAAGAGCAACAGAGTTGCTACAATTGGTCCACACAGATATTGCAGGACCATTTGAAGTCATCTCTCTTGGAGGAAACAGGTATTTTCTCACATTTATTGATGATTATAGCAGAAAAACTTGGGTTTATTTCCTGAAGGAGAAATCCGAAGCTCTGGAGAAATTCAAAGAATTCAAGGAGATGGTAGAAAAGCAAAGTGGGTACCACATCAAAGTGCTCCGATCAGATCGAGGTGGAGAATACACTTCGAAGGCATTCAACAATTTCAACAAGCAGTACGGGATAATTCATCAACTCACTGCCGCCTACACACCACAGCAGAATGACATAGCAAAGCGGAAGAATCGTACCATTCTTGATATGGTCAGAAGCATGTTGAAGAGCAAGTACCTGCCAAAGACTTACTGGGCTGAAGCCGTGGACTGTGCAGTTTACCTCCTCAACAGATGTCCGACAAAGAGCGTCAAGTTCAAGACACCATTGGAGATGTGGAGCAACATCAAGCCAAGTGTCAACCACCTGAAGGTGTTTGGGTGTATTGCATATGCACACATCCCGGAGCAGAAAAGAAAGAAGTTGGACGATCGAGGAGAAAAGTGCATATTCGTTGGGTACGAGAGGAGGACAAAAGCATACAAGCTCTACAATCCAGTTACAAAGAAGATGATCATTTCAAGAGACGTGGAGTTCGATGAAGAAGATTATTGGAAATGGACCGATGAAGATAAAAATATTAAAGGTATGTTCTTTGAAGATAATGATGATGACTTGCAGGAGGTTGGAAGACCAGAACAAAGTCCACCTAATAGTCCAGCTCCATCAACCCCAACATCAACGCCGACATCATCCAGCTCAAGTGAAGGAAGCTCTTCAGGGGGAGCAACAAGGAGGATGAGAAGCCTAAGAGATCTGTACGACGATACAGAGCCTGTCGAGATGATGGATGACTACACACTATTCTGCTTGTTTGCAGAATGTGATCCGGTCAGCTATGAAGAAGCTGCTCAAGAAGAAAAATGGAGAAAAGCCATGGATGACGAGATCGAGGCAATCAAGAGAAATGATACATGGGAGCTCACTACCTTACCTGAAGGCCATAAACCAATTGGAGTAAAGTGGGTGTACAAGACAAAGACAAATCAAGATGGCGGAATCGAGAAGTACAAGGCCAGGCTTGTTGCAAAAGGCTATAGTCAGCGAGAAGGAGTTGACTATGAAGAAGTGTTCGCACCAGTCGCGAGGATCGACACCATCCGACTCATTATCGCAT